AACCGCTCTGAAAGAAGAAGAAGAGAAGATATTGGATTTATACCCCGCCCTTCACTACCCAAAGGTGTCTCAGAGCGGCTTACAAGCTCCCCTCCCCACCACAGACACCCTGTGAGGTAGGTGGGGCTGAGAGAGCTCTGACAGAAACTGCTCTTTTTCAAGGACAGCTCTTATCAGAACTATGGCTTACCCAAGGTCATCCAGCAGGTGCAAGTGGAGGAGTGGGGAATCGAACCCGGTTCTCCCATATTAGAGTCCGTGCACTTCACCACTACACCAAGATCAGCTGCCCTTCCTGTTCAGGGCAGAGATCAGCTTGATAACACTGAGTGGTTCAGCATCTAGTTCTGTATATCCTGTTTCATTGCAATAAACAGTTCTCCAAGTCACTGGACTCCACCTGTGTGCCCTCTGTCTGGTCCCGGAGACGCACGGGGCATAGAATTGTGCAGCAGTTCCCTTCAGCTGCTGAGCTGGCCCCCAGTGCTGTGATAATTTGTGGCTTTATAAAACTGAATTTCCCACCCTGTGACAGAATCTGGCTTGACTTTTGCCCAGCCCAGGAACTTGTCCCGAGAAAACAGGAGCCCTCTTTTGAGATCTCTTGAAATGGACCTGGAGACTGGGTAACAGTGAGCAATAATACAGATTTTATTTAATAGGCAGGGGTGGTATAGGGTAGTCAGGAATCGGAAAGGCTGAGGTAAATGTCGGTGAAACCGTATATTTTTCAGTGGAAAGACAAGATGGTGTTGTAGCAGCTGATTTTTACACATTCTTGGTTCTTATTAGCAAGAGAGGGTTGACTCTTAAGTCCTTTGGTTTTAGTTACAATGTTTCTGCATACAGTTTCCTAAGAACTGTTTGGGTTTTCTGAAAAGGTCACTCTTAGCGTATCAATTTCCGCCCCTTTTCTGAAATCACAACTTTTCTTCTTTCCCTCCAAGTAGACTATCAGTAGTAGACTCACCGTTTCCTTTCACAACAGACCAGGGATTGCTTCAGAGCCAATTCCCTGTATAACTGGAAAGGACTTCTATGTCTTCCCTGAAAATGTAATCCTTTTTCTTTTGGCCTGAATGGGAGCTTAAACCTGCTACCCATTCTTGGCCAAAATCTCCAACCCTGGTTCTCGGTGTCCGTGTGAAAACATACTTCAGCTGACACTAGACTGAATTCTTAGATGGAATTCTTTCTCAGGTTATATTGAACACAGCTAAGACCAGGAGTCTCTCCCTTTATTCAAAAGGTGACCCTGTCTGGCAGACTTAGTCAGACTCTTCAGATGTCCACTCCTTTAGCTGAACTTTTACTTTACTGAACAGCAACTGCAGCTGAACTCAAGTCAAGTCAAGTCAGCCTTTATTGGCATAAATTATCAGTACCATTTAAATGAACTCAAAATGAACTAACTCTCTCCTCAGCACACAGCTGATCTTCTATTTCCCTCAGCTAGTGCTGGCCAGAGGAAAGGAGCAGCCCGTCAAGCTCCACATTCTAGCACAGTGATGGCCGGTGGGGGAGCCCCGCACCCGAAAAGTCCTGCTGTGCCTCACACGCTTGACATAATGACATCACCCAGAGGTGACATCATCAGGACGGGGACGTTGCGTGGGGACGCTCTAGCATTTGGCTAAAAACTCTATGGTGACCATAGAGTTTATGGCCAAATGCTAGAGCGTCCACGGCATGACATGCCTGGCGCGATGACATCACTTTCTCGCTCCCACCAGAAGATCCAGGGGAGCGGGCTGGAGCCTCCCACCAGCAGAAGGTAAGGACATGACAACCCTAATTACAACTGATTTCCGGATGACAGAAATCAGTTCCCCTGGAGGAGGTTGCTTCAGAGGGTGGACTCTGTGGCATTATGCTCTGCTGAGGCCCCTCCTCTCTCCAAATCCCTCCGTCCCCAAGTTCCATGCGCAGATCTCCAGGTATTTTCCAAGCAAGAGTTAGCAAGCTTATCTATCGGGTCACCTTTCCCATCCTGCTCTATAGCCTGCAGTTCACAGGAGAGTCTGGTAGCTTCAATAGCAGCTCTCTTTATTGCTTCCAACTGGACAGATGGGAGAATAAAAAGACATACTTGTGGAGTAGGGTGGGATATTAGCCAAACAAATAAGTACAGAAAGAACAAGACCTAAGTGAGGCCCCTCCTGGGCATCGAGGGGACAAAATCTAACTCTTGAGGGCTTCTATATACCTCCAGCTTCTATATACCTCCATGCATCTGACGAAGAGAGCTGTGTTTCTTGAAAGCTTATGCTACAATAAAGTTTGTTAGTCTTAAAGGTGCTACTGGACTTTTTACTGTTTTGCAACAACAGACTTAACACACAGCTAACTTCTCTGGATCTGTCTGTCTGTCAGAAGTTTTCCCCCTCCCCTATTGTTTCTCATAAGGGGCACAACTTCCTCCAAAACAGTGCGCAAATAAATGGTAGGGATGAGAGAAAGGCTCCCTGGAAATGTTTTGTTTCCTCTAACTTATTCCTCCTTTAATATTTGCCTAAATGCCCGTCTTCCTTCCTTCCTTCCGTCCGTCCGTCCGTCCTTCCTTCCTTCCTTCCTTCCTTGGAAAGAACGTTTCCGGAACCAATATTCCCCGTGCCACGTTTCCCTCAGCGGGGGACCCTCTTTCTCCGCGCGCCGCGGAGACCGGAAGTGTGCGTAGGAAGACTCCAGCAGGTGGTTCGGCTCCCCCCAGGAACGAGACCGGTCTGGACTTTTTACTGTTTTGCAGCAACAGGCTTAACACAGCTAACTTCTCTGGATCCATCTGTTTGTCTGTCTGTCAGAAGTTTCCCCTCTCCCCTATTGTTTCTCATAAGGAGCACAACTTCCTCCAAATCAGTGCGCAAATAAATGGTAGGGGTGAGAGAAAGGCTCCCTGGAAATGTTTTGCTTCATCTAACGTACTCCTCCTTTAATATTTGCGTAAATGCCCTTCCTTCCTTCCTTCCTTCCTTCCTTCCTTCCTTCCTTCCTTTCTCTCTTTCTTTCTCTCTCTCTCTCTCTCTCTCTCTCTCTCTCTCTC